ATTATTAATTGAACGACTTGATATTATTATAAATGTAAAAAAGAAATATCTCATTTACCAAGGATAACCCTAATGTAGCAAGGTAAAAGGGATTACCAGCGATTAGTGAAAATTCGATTGGTGCCATATTATGGAATGCTTTCTTTTCGAGGAGCTACTTTCTTTTAAAGGAGTAAAAGACTTGGGTCGTTACAAAGGGAAGAAAAGGAAAGTATTAAAAACAAGGAGACCGCGCCTTGTGTGAGTTGGTCGAGTAAGAAAAGTACAGGCAGAATATGCAGATAAATGGAAAAAGGGCCGCGATGACTAACTGGACAAAAAAATAAAGAAAAATTGGGCAAATGAAAAAAAAGTTAGTTTAAACGTTGTTTATATGTTTATATGCGGTCCATTGCCTATATTAAATGAAGTCATGGAATGATTACTATTATAGGAAAAGCATGATGACATTTTTATTGACTACTTTTAGGATTTCTCATTTCTCTATATATGCGCAGTTCAGAATATTCATAATTGAAAACAAATCATCTCGGGAAAATATTGTATTCATGCATAAAGAAATAGGAAAAATAAAAACAAAATAACAAATTTAAAAGAAAAACTTTCTCTTCTTACTTGTTAGCAAACAAGTATAGGGAGGAAATATATATAATAACATTAGTAACCAAGAATTATTCACAATTTAAATACTAGCACCACAACAGGTTCAAAGAGCACAAAAATTTTAAATCTAGAAGGGCGAATTAACAAAAACGTTCGCGTAACTCAGGAAACCTACCTGAATTATTAGATATCGTTTTAGAGGAAATTTAAATTTGAATACAAAAAGAAAATATTTGTTTTTGAAACTATTTGTTTTTCACGACAGAATTTACATTGGTTTATATATATTTGATTTTATTTTATAAATTTAAAAAAAAATTCAAATGTATCACAATAAATTCACGGATTAACCTTATCCGATCGTTCAAATAAAGCTTCAAAATGATGTTCCGAAATTTTTTTCATTTCATTATGGCACTTTTTTTATTTTTATTTGTTCTAAAAAGAAATATTAAAAGTTATCGATCAAGTTATCATGTTATGAATTCTTTTAGAAAAATCATTAAGAACTTTCGATCACTCACAATGGATAGATTTACGTTCAGCCAAAACTACCGCAGCTAAAAAAAAAATGCCATGAATTTTCACGTGATTAAAGACCAAAAGAACAATTTCACTTGTGAAATATTCATGTCACACGTTAGTTTTTGCCAAAATCACGTGGGTGAAATTTTTGTGGGTAAATATACTAAAATGAGTACGTAACACATATTGCGCGGAAAGTAACCGTATTCGCGGATTCGTTAACAGTAATAATGCGTTGTTACCCTTTGACAAGTTTTGCTTTTTTTTTTTTGATTACATTTTATCATGAGTCCAAATACACAGGCAATTTTATGGGTACTTCGAAGTCATGGGATTTGTACAAGCATATTGAATCAATCAGAATTGTCAGGAGACGCGTTTAAATTGTCTACAGATACGGGTGATGTATTTGTAAAGACAAGCAACAGGGCGTATGCATATGCGATGTTTGAAGGTAAGAATTATTTGACAGATTTTGAATATAACGAAGAATTTATTAAAATAAAATTTTTTTATTTTTAGGCGAAATTGAGTCCTTGAATGCGATACTTGAAGCGGTTCCAGGATTTGCACCAAAACCTCTATGCCTTGGAACATTTCCTAATGGAGGTGCATTTATCGCTACGACATATAAACGACTTTCGACAGCAAATTTATCA